TCACAAGTATCGTCATTCCGCGCTAAGTCTGGTGTACAGAGATTAGCCAATTGAAGACACCCGTATATTGTTTTTGTTAACAGGGCACGGGCTCTGTTATTGTAAATGTTTATGATTCACCGGATAAGTTAAATTGTTAGAGTCTTGAGATACGACTGAGCACAGACTAACAATACTCTTCGCAGGTTTTGCTTTTGAACATATCTTCTCTGCAATAATGATTCTTTCAAGAGTGGTCGTTATTTAAGTAATGGTTGCAACACGTCTCCACTTGGCCATAAAAACGGATATTTATCAGCTCTTTCAATGCACACTTTTTAGACTGCGCAAGACGACACATTGATATAGTCTAAATAAATATTAGTTTCTACAGTGAATATTAATTTCAACTGTACTCTTTTTGACACGTGTTTTTGATCTGATAATTTTTCGACGACTTTTATGATTTATGGGAGAATAATGTCTGCGGCATTTCTTTAGTCCAGGTAATAAATGTCATCGGTAGAATCAGAGATAAACAATACGATACAAATCTTACCAGGGATTATCTGCCGAGTTATCTGTAGAGAGACACAACAGTATTTTACACAGCTTATCATAGTCTAAATATCGATATTTCTGTATCAAGATAGAATTGAATGGTAGATTTCCACAACTTCCCTGCCGCTGTATACAGAGAGACAATGCATTGCAAAGCTTACAACAGTCCATTAGTCGATATATCTACTAGTAACCAGGTTGTGGGAAAAATCCCTAGAAGTGATTATCGTTTATTCAATAAGATATAACACGTACAGCTACTTTCTCTTTAGAATTATATTTCTTTCTTTCAGTTTTACAATATTATTATTCTTTCTACTCTGATACAAATATTAAGTTAAAAGGTCATACAGTTAATACAAAGACAAGACGACAAATACATTGATGCCACTTTTTTATCTTTATTAAGAGGCAGTCCACCGAAAAACCAGGCAATAGGTGGCACATCGCATGTCATGGATTTTAATTATTTTTTGCATGTAGACTTAGTATAGTAATTGTTTACACATGACAACATCAAAAAATTTTTTAGTGGTCCTCTAGTCCTATTTTTGGTAAATGCCTAATTTTAAGTGCAAAAAGGTCAATTTGAGGTTAAAAAAATTACCACGTTTTTATTTTGTTTTATATGTAACAGATACTCAAGAGCTGGATGTGTCAATCAATATTATTTATAGCATAGACTCTTATCTTTTATTTTATAATGAATAAGACTCCAAATTATATTTCTTTAGAAAAAAAATATGTGGTCCAAAATTGAGTTTAACAAGTTACTTTTTGAATTCAGTATGCAATTTTCGATACTTTATAAAATCCAATACATTACTATGACAGACTTTTTTCCTCATGTTATTATGAATACAAAGTACAAACTTTTGAGTCATTTAATAAAATTGGTGGGAACAGGTATATTGAGAGAAATAAAAGGAGTCAAATTTACCTATTATTTATGATTTTCCCCTAATTAAACCGATCCCGATCGGAATTATATAAAGAAGAAAATACTATAGCTGTTTCGTTCAATCTGGCTCTTTTGTTGCAATGTTGTTTAAGAATTACTTTATTTATTATTTTACATATTATTTAGGTGGCAGGTGCCTTTAGTTTGATAAATTTATTAATTTTGCATTATTTTCGATCGGGATCGGTTTATTTCAATCCGGGTCGGTTTTTACCGTAAAATTAGAAATATTTCCTCTATTTGGTTCTTCATTATAATTTATCCGAAAAATATGCTTCTCTTTTATTTCTTTTCAATCAGTTTTCTGTTTTTAATTGAATGTAACCATAGATTCAATGTATATATTATTTTTAAAAATTACTAATGTCTTTTACGTACATGAGGATTACATCAATACATGTAAAACATGTTTGATTTCTTGATACTCGGTATTTCAAAAAATGTATTTGTGCATGCATCATGCAACCTCTGAGATCAAACAGCTATCCACGTATAATTTCATTATTTATCTTATTTCCAAGTAAAATTTCTTTTTCTATTTTCTCAGGAATTAAAGAGTTAAATTCTATCAGTGACGAAATTGATTAAACATGGCTAAATACAGAAAATATTTTATATGTACGGTCTCGACTTTATCCAAGATTTTTTTTTTACCGGTCATCTGTAAAGCCTTTTCCCCTATATTTTTCTTCTTTTAAAAATTTTAATTTTTATATTAATAAGAAAATAAGTGATATAATATCATTATTTAAGAGCTGATAAATCGCAAGCAAAAAGCGGGGGGGGGGGGGGGTTCATGTCTAAATTGTACGTGATTTTTTTTAGAATTGGCCAATATAGTCAAATGTTTAAACTCCATATTAAATGTGAGTGTGTGATTGTTTCAATAGCCTAATGAAAAAAAATATATATAATAAAAAAAAAAAAAAAAAATGTTTCACTAAACCATCTTCCGTTTTAGTGCCAATTTATAGTGGGGAGTTCAGCAGTTATCTAACTCAGTAAATATATTCTTATAACATTTTACAGTTTTTTTTCATTTTTTCATTTTTAATCGTACCGCGGATTGTTTCTTTTGATTAGACTGCATAGGTAAATATATCTAAGTTTTTATAAATATCATGAAGTAAACATCTCAACTTCGTTGAATTAAATGTTGCGTAAATCTAAAACATCCATCATTGATTCCAAACTTTATAAGAATTGTTCATCATAAACACTTCATTAATTATTTTTACGCATATCATAGTAAATCAGTTAAAAAAAAAGTTCTCAGACATGTGTAAAAGTACTTATCAAAACGGACTTGTTTTAATACATCTACATGAGACGCCGCCCGTGTATAAATAGAGTATTCTGCAGAGTAATTACACAGAAAAAGAGATATCATTTAAAAAAATTTTCTTTACACTTTATGCAAAGAATTTACAAACTTCTCTGGGAAACTTGCAACAATTTCATTGTGACGCAACATTAGTCAGGTGTATGACGTCACTGATACATCAATGGAAACGTGATTTCAACCCGAATAATATAGCCAATTTTTATTTAAATATTACGTTTTGAGGCGAAAATGAATTATATTTTGAAAATAAATAAGTTATTTTTTGTTTAATAATTTTCTTTAGTGTATCGATTCTAAATATTTCACTAGGATTCCGTGAAAAAGGTGTTGAGCAGATTTACCGATGCCACGGGAGATAACTCTTGTATCACAAAATTTCACAAAAACGTGTATATATTTTGCCAGAAAACTACTATCAAAAGTGTTTTTCCCACCGATTTTATTTTATAAACAAAAAGATGAAATATTTCTAGATTTAGTTAAGTGTGAATTATAGTCCTGATAAAAATGTATTAGAAATTACAGTTCTTTTTTTCTGACCTACATTCAATGGTTTATATAGGGGAATTCAGAAACACAAAACGCAGGGATATTTTACTAAATAAGCAATTTTCAAACAAATCTTCACATACATTATTCCTTTTGGACTACACTGATATTGTTTTTAATAAAATATCAAATATTCCTCACATTCGATGTGCCGCCTATCAATACAATACTGCCTGGTTTTTCGGTGGACTGCCTCTTAAATGTATAGCTTTAAATTTAGTCAAAGATAACCATTATATAGTTATAAGTACTTTATTATTTATATAAACTTAATGTAAACTTTAAAGCATTCTATTAGTTTCAAAATGATAGATATTAAAAGAACAGTTATACATCTAATACAAAAACACTGGATGACAAATACGTTTTCATCTGCATCATGGTCAAGACCAGTTTTGCTCCATCTATAATATTGTAGGCTTTAATAAAAAATTAATTATACCATCACATTTTAAAAATTTATAACAGATCAGTAAAACTTTATATGGTAATGAAAAATTATAATATCAAATAATTATAATTATGTTAAAAATTTTACATTCAGCTATAACATAATCACAAAAACAGACTGGATCAATATAATAATTACACTGTAGTCATATACCAAATTTACATAAACGACGCCTAAGATCAATCATACAATTACAATTCAATCAATAACATCTATTCAGTAATTACAACAATCATTTAATAAATCATTTAACATGCACCTTGCAAATTGAATATTTGTATAAATAATGTATATTGAATATTCGTGTTTCATGAAAAACCCTTTAAAAGTATTTATTTTTTAGATAAAGAATTCAAACCAATTTGTATGCAATTGAGATTTCTATTCAAAAAAAAAAAAAAAAAAAAAAAGAATTCAGTGAATACTAAATTACTTACTAAAATTTCATCAATGGAAAACTGTAATTTACCCTTTGCACAAAAGTGACATTTCTTTTTCTTTTTTTCAAAAGTGATAATTTTAAAAGAGAAATGTCTACATTCAAAATATCAAAAGAGCAGCAATACTCTCGTGACATTTCCCCTCACTACCAAAACTTACTGTAGTGGAACATGTATTGACTTTAAAATAAGAATTTCAATACCTTAATTAATACGAGACGATATTCAAACTCCCCACAGAATATTATAAACCTATTTACTGGCTATGAAGACAATAGCAAGTTTATCGTCCCCCGTGATAGCAAACTATTTCCCGAGGCGCAGCCGAATAGTCAGTAAATAAGTGTTTTATTATACCGATGCTGACTTTGCTTTTGTTATGTCATAATATATACGTCACAATCCGTATAAAATCAGAGGTTTTCCAAGATGAAAAGCGAAGGAAACAGAATCCTGCCGGTATATAGTTTTATGACTATTTTACCATGGGCAGGTAGCACAAAAACTATTTCACGGTAGGGACTGTTTGAAAAAGAAAACATGTTTTTTCGTCATATTTTTACACAGAACAAGTTTACAGAGGTATAACAAACTTGTGTAATTGTCTTCCTTATAGAAGTTTTATCAAGTCTAGTTAACTTAAAAAAGAGGGTTCCGGATTAGACGAGTTGTACTTTATATGGTACCATACAGTACTTGCTTCCCTATAGCTCTTCAGTGATGTTTTATCATCATGGAAGTCTCCTTTATCTCATTATTAAACATAACTGTAGGAAACCATGGGTTGTACCAGTGTTCCGGAGACCAGGGACCGTTGAGGTTGGCGTCATGACAGGCGTTATACCACAAGCCTCCTCCTCCGTATAAAACAGCACGGTTACCAAGACTCAATCTGTCGTTATCCCTGTCGGAGGTTGTAAAATACATCCCAGACAGATCCCTGTAATACCTCCCCGTATTAAACATACTGTCACCTGAACAATAATCAAAGAAAACATATTAAAAACCCTCAAATAATATCATTCTTATTTACAAAATTTAAAGTAAAATCAAATCTATATTATATATATCGTACATCCGTTTTTATATAGTAGTATTAATTAATCTTATCGAAATTTTGAACATGACTAGGATTTATTATTCACAACAAATACGTCAATACAATTAAAATAGAATTATATAAATTGTAAATTATAGAATAATATCTAATAAGGGTTTTCCAATTCTTATTGTTTACTTTACTTAAAAATTATAGTACTGGGATCAATGCAATTTTTCCACTTTGTAATCACTATAATAATTATGAATACTTCAAAGTTAGACATAAAAGACACAAATTCGAATGTCATATGACTTTCTGTCAAACTATTTTATATTTCTAAAATAAACACACAAAATTTATGTACATTCCGTCATGATAAGTCTGGCTTTCAAATATACAGAGAGATAATTTCAAAAATTCCTTTTATACCTGTCATTCTCCATGTTTGATGTGCTTTATACATAAAGCAATAAGCATATTAGTGTCACTTTATTAGTGTACTAGGTATTTAAAGGAGCTGAATGGGGTTTTATTGTGTGAAAATTACATTAGAGTAACCTTATAGCATGTCATTATATAAAGCAGACCTATTTTTATACCTATATGAAGCAGAAATTGTGCAAATTCTTATGCTTGAAAAGAAGAAAACACTTGCTGTGGCCTTCAACTCGACATTTAGATATATCGATGACGTCAATTAACAATGGTAATTTCCATACCGGTCACGGTAGCCTAGTGGTAGAGTGTTCGCTTCGTGATCGGAAGGTCCGGGTTCGATTCTCGTTTGCGGCGCCGCGTCAAACTTAAGACGTAAACATTGGTAGTGACTGTTCCTTCGCCAAGAGCTCGGCACTAGAAGTGAAAGTCACGGGTCTTTCGGATATGACCTTAAAAACGTAGGTCCCCTGTCACGGTAGGCATTGGCACGTTAAAAAACCCTCACTGCTCAATGGCCCTGAGTGCCGAGTAAAGGTCAAAATTTGAAACCCTTCACCGGCAAATGGCGACGTTTCCATAGGAGTGAAAAAATAGGACTTAAACAATATACAATCAATCAATCAATCCATTCCTTCGTCGATACGATATATCCTGATCAGCTTAAGATAAAACATATCACAGAGTCAGACACATCTGCTTAATACTTGGATATTTTACTTGAAAAAGACGGTTATGGTAATCTAAAAACCAAGCTATATGATAAACGTGATGATTTTATTTTTTGCTACCGTCAACATCACTTACTTATGCAACAATATACCTTCATCACCAGCATACGCAGTTTATATATCTCCAGTTGATTCGATACGTAAGAGCATGGTCTATGTATGAACATTTTCTAAAACGAGGTGAATTATTGACAAGCAAGATGATGAAACAAGAATATCATCGGACTTGTTTTAAGTCATCATTTCGTCAGTTCTACGGTTGATACGATGACCTAGTTAGCAAATACAATTTATCATTGAGTGAAATTTTGACTGACGTTTTTCAAACTTATTGTTAGTCCATTACTTATACACTGGATTGACGACAGATTTTTTCTGTTTTTTTCCCGATCATGATAAGGAGCACACGGTAGATGTGACCGGTCAGCAGGAGATATAAACTCCTCCATGGCACATGATCCCATCTCTGATGTTTTGAAGGTCCGTTTGTTCTGCACCAATTTTGTATTGTTTTATGGACATTGATATTGAATACTGATCGTTATATCCATATCCTTCTATGTGTACCTTATATTAACGGTTGCCTTTTCTAAAAAAAAAAAAAAAGGTACATTTACTATAAGATTATTGAAAAATTCGAATTTTCCACACTTGGAAACACAAAATTCTACAATTTTGTTTTTCAGAGAATGCATAGCAAATTATACAACTCAACAAGCTTTTCCTCTCAAGTTAGGATTGCTTTAGAAGAATAGATACATTTGATTTAACTATACTGCGCGAAGTATTGCATATAGTAAACTTCAGAGGGTCTCCCAAGATGAAATAATTTAATATATAAATAATTATGAACGCATTTAGAGTAAAAGAAAAACGATTTTTTTTCTGCTAAAAAATATCCTAAATTATCATTTACACGGAGCATTTAAGTAAAGTGTTAATCTTTATTATATAAGAAGGTATTACATATTGCCATATCTTTTAAATCTTCTTCAAGAAATGTTTAAATGTAGTTTAAAGACTTTCAAAAATGAATCTGTATTTTGCGATCAATTAAAGGTAACCTTCAGAAACCTTAAAGAAGAAACATAATCAGTAAGGTAAGATTATTTATCTATTCATCAAAATATTCATCTTTTATCCTATACTACTATTATTTTTATCAATAATTTGATTCTCTTTGTAATCACTTTTATAGAATTTAACATTTTATCTTGTGCCAAATTGATGTATAATTTCCCATGGTCAGCACAAACAGTTCAATCATTTAAAGCCAATTTAAAACTGTTATAGATGAATAAAATTACCCAAAGTTCCATCAAACTTTAAATCTTCCGTACAGATGCTTTACTGTAAATTCCTAAATATACGCGTGCAATTGATTACGCGGGTATGTTAAGGAGGCATATAAGTAATTTCTCGGGAATTTTATACTTTTTGAAGAAAATTTAGTTTAATAAATTACCAAAAACGACTGAAAAACGTAAACTGTTATTTACTATTGCATACAGATAAAAGCGTGTCTAACGCAAAGACGCGCATCACCGCCACAGCATCACGTGACTTCTATTAATAGCAAAATTTTCCTTAATAAAAAGGCTTACAGAACAACAATACCCCGGAGTTTGATAATTTCTTTGAGTATGTAATAAAACTGAAAAACATCTATTTTGTCAAAAAAGTGCTGCTAGAATCCAACTGTCTTGTCCGTAAAATATTTATTCCACACATTCCCACGAAACCTTACCCTTTGTTGTGAATTTTATACATATGAATCGAGATTTTTCGTACAACCATGCTTAACTCGGGATTCTAGCAGCACTTTCCAAATTTGTCAAAACGCAAACTTTCAATCTGTACAAAACGTATATTTTGAAATATCCAGCTTATTGTTGTTCTGTTGCATTTTATGGTCAAGAATGACGGACGATAGGCCGACCGGCATACGTAATATAGCTGACTGTCTTCGAAAGAGAATATAATCGATGAAAATAAATTAGCATACCTGTTTAATTAATTGAACTCCATATGAATTTAACACAATATTTTCGACATTTCCTTTTAAACTCCATTTTACGTATCTTTGAACATGCCGTCTTAGCCAAATTCTCTTTACACGACATGATCAATTTCCAAGTTACTCGATGTACACATATGACGTCATCGGTGGTAGATTTCAATCATAATGACTGTTACAGTATAACAAAATAAAAACATTTTATTTTTGTTAATGTTTTCACGTTTCTAACCATTTTCTAGATTTAAATTACATCGCTAAATACCAATACTACGAAAACCTGATTTCTAAAATTGACGTCATCTTGCCTACTGTGACGTCATAATGTAGCACTGATTTAGCCAAGGTAGAATATTTTGTATGCTTCCTTATTCCCCCTGCGTATCTTGTAACTTCACGAGAAGTACCGCACGCCAAATAAAATTACTCGCCTTTATTTTTATGGTGCTAAAAACTATGTTAAATATCTTGACCAACAATCCTATAGCGAAATATTATTCTCGTGATTTGACGTTGAAGAGACCATTCACGATAGAAAGTACTCGCGAAAAATAAGGAATCTACAGTATGTTTAAACAACCTGTTGAATAAATAAATAAGATATTATTATAACAGTTACTCGATCCCAAAGAGTAGTATCACGGCAAGTTGACAGGCGATACTTTTCTTCGGATCAAGTTACTGTTATTATGACAAATTTATTATTAACCCCTGTTCAATTAGCAACTTTAATAGCACAAAACTTTTGTGATTAATGTCAATCTTTTTCTGCATTAAACAAAGCATTTCTTCAAGGAACTTTTGATACGAGAGAGAAAAACCGTCATGTATACCTTTAACTACATATACCTCATCAGTTGCAGAGAGTGGTGATATGGATTCAGAAAACCAAAGAGTCGAGATCCGAGAATTCGGATCACATCGTCACGTGATCGCGTAAAATCAACAGTAAATTGGGATGAAACACAAATAGGTACATAACAATAAGCTCATGGGCAAAATTGCTCACTTATGCACATTGGCTGGGAAGAAGCAGACATCAGTACAGAACTGAAAAGGTAGGCGTTGGCAAACTTTAAATTACACTGCCCCAGACTGCTTCCATATCAATATTACTAATCAATGCTTCGCTGTTCTTAAAGGAATAATTAATAAAGATTTTTCCTAATATTCCTATGCAAAATCCTGATGGCTTTTAGACACAATCATTTCCATCCTAAATTTGAACAAATCGATTCTACAATACCTGAGGATACTTCTTTCATAATATGACTAATGATGGTTTTGCTGTTCTTGAGAAGAGGATATTTAAATAAATTTTGTTAAACGAGAGTTCAACCAAAAGTAATGTCACAGAATTCATATTTCTTTTTATCTTTCTCGTAATATTTTCAAATATATTACATGTATACTTAAAAATGCACGTTCATCAATCCAATTAAAATCAAATTTTCATTTAATTATTTATCACTAAATTTAATTTATAAATGTTTAAAACATAGAACATAAGAGGTGGTGCCGCGTCCCCACTAAAGTTCACGAATTAGGTGCTCTTTTTCTCAGAATGAAAAAAAGAAAACAAATGAAAGCATCTTGAAAAGTGCAAAATCGCCGGAATTCAGAGAGACAAAATTAACAAAATTTTCTAGTCTTGAGTTTAAAATAAGATGACAACATTGCTTTTGTTATCATACACTCAGATGCAGTGATCAAAGGATATGTAAAAAAAAGGCTAAAATAAACTGTTATGCATTTTTGCGTCACAATGGGGAAATCACAGGTAGAGACAGTTAAGTTGATTCACACGACTTACACAGGAAAAAATGTAAATAAGAGACTTGTTTAGATGAATTGTTTCAGATTTTCAGTGGGTGATGTGTCAATGAATGCTCAGCAGATGAGAAGAAAACAGAAAAATGAGAGGATTAAACAGAAATATTCCATGGCGTCTGTTATTAAAAAAAAAACCCAAAAACAGACGTCAAATCGATATGTGAAATTATAAGTTTGTCTTATGCTACTGCTCAAAGAATATTTACAGAGGAATTAATTAATAAAATGTCAGTGAACTGTTGGTACTAAAATTCTTAAAGGAACTGAAATATGCCAACGTTTTCGTGGAATATTTTATAATTTAACGAAGAAAAGTGTTAAAAGATAAGTGAGGGTGCGTATTCGTCATATTGCGTTGTTTAAAAGCGGCGAATTCCATAATTGCACGTAAAAAATATTCCATTATTTTGAAAAGTATAAACCATATTGAATAAAAATTTCCAGGTCTGCTATGAAATAAATATAGCTTCAGTCATTTTATGCTTTATTGCCCAGTTGTCCTTATAAAAGACTTTTTTAAATGATATCTCAAAATTGTTACAGAATCCTAATTATCACCCTTAACAAGGAAGCGTTAAACATCTTGTGGGAAAACTTTAATCCCCTTATCCAAGGATGTTTTGTGGCAAGTTGGTTGAAATTTGCTCATATGTTCTTGAGAAGAAGACAAAAACTTGAGACGTTCTCAGACAACAGACGCCAGACACTCTAAGATCAGAAATGCTCAATTGATCCTTCAGCTCAGGTGAACTATTGAACCCACATCTCACCTAGTGTTCCTGTGGTCGGTCTATTCAGGAAAAGTCTGTATTTATCTGTCTCGTTGGTTATGGAGAATTCCTCGTACTGTTGGTATAGAGTGGTTCCATTGGTCAAAGTTATTGACACGTACAGAGATGGCTTGTTTTTGGTTAACATATGAATTACGTCATTTCCTAAAAAATGTTATAGTAATATTGATTAAGTAAAACCTATAGAGGAAAAAGAAATAACTGATTTATAAAAGACAGCCATAAACATGCACATCTTATATATGTAAAAAAAAGTCGAAACGATCAAAGTATATATGTCTCTACTGAATTTCATATATACTTAAACTAGAGATACAACTTTCCTTTTAAAGTAAACCAAAATGCATATACCCAACCAATAAGATGAATTAACAGAACCAAATCCCTCCTTGTACTCCTTCCAAGTTCTGTCGAAATCTGTTGATCCGTCAACACGCTTCTGTATAACCTGTGGGATTGATTAAGAATTGTCATTAATGTTATTAAAAAAATAGTTATGAATCCGTGCACTAATTGATTAAATAATTATTAAACTGACCGTCCATCCTCCACCTTTGATGGTCATATCACACAGGACGACAGAGCATTGGTTGTTACGGGGATAAATAGTGTAAATATTAGACAAAGTATGACCATCAGCGAGCAATGTTTTACAATTCAGTGGACGTTTATTCCCTAAAATTATAAAAGAAATGGAGATAAAGAAAACATTCTTGAAATACAAATATTTATGCACAGGAATGTGCATATAAGCCGCCACTCTTTTCAATCTCTGGAGTCCCAATCAGGTCATTTCCAGCTACTAGTATTTATATAAGGCCATGTCAAATAATAAAATCTAAGATTATAATTATTAATAAGACATTCAAAATTAATTTCACATTTAAATTTCTAGAGAATAACATTTTTAGAAATCTCTGTTTTCAGTAAAATTATTCACTATTGTGAATTTTCTATTGTTCTCATGCATAGGGGTGGTGCTTAGTCTGAAAATTTTATTTCCTCTTCCTTTCTTTTATCGTATCTTATTTTCATTTAACGTTTCATATTATTCAATAGCCTCAATAAATGACTTTTAGCAGAGGTCGTTATGTTCGTTACGTTTATTATAATTGAAATGAAATACCTTCAGATTCCTGACTGAAGTACCTCCATCCTACTTGAACTTCTGTTAAATTACCCGGATGACATCCCGAATAAACTCGACATTTATTAGCGTGCAAATTGACGCCAAAATACGTACACCCTGGACCACACATGACTGCGCACATGGTTACTGAATATGCGTCATACTCTGCCATGAGATTTTCTCTAATAAAAACGTCATTCTTATTTAATTGAGCAATATACTGTTTCGACATTGATTCGGAAATTCTAATTGAAACAACAAACACGGCCCACAACAATCCCCTATTATTGTAATTATTCAGCATTGTTATTTCTCCTCTCTTTGAGTGGTGATAAGCGATTCATTTTACACTATTTAAATTATTTTTTAAACGAATTTTTTTACCAGTCCCTAATCTGATTGGATACATATGTTAAAAGTTATCGAAAAGAAGGTGGGTCTAATAAATTAAACGACTTCAAATCACCTGAGTGGTTGTATTTAATCAAACATTTTTTTTCATACTTAACATTGAATTTACAGTCTAAAAACACCTGACATTCTAATAACGGTACATGTTTTTTGAAATATTGACTAAAATACTTGTATGGTACAAAGTTCTTGTATTGAATCAAGAAAACCAACTAAAGTATTCATTTGGGGTTGGGAAACCATAATTTCTTTGAATTTCATAGTCTTTTGCACTAATTGATATCAATACGCAAGTTTCGAGATAACATGTATCTCTCTCGGTGCGTCCTTTCGTTGCGGTGGGGAGTTTCGTTACAACGTAAACAGACAGGTGGGACAGTTATTTATATATTGGATACATTGCATCATCGATATACTGGTTTATCAGATCTACATGATTGTCAGGATGCACTCTACATCTTGACAATAACCAAATTAATGTAAAGGCGTCATTTTTAAACCAAAAAATCGTAACAAAAAAGGAAATGTCAGTGCATGCAGGGTTCTCCATCATTTGAGATTTTACTGTGTTGCAGAGTTTACGCGAAGCACTCTAATATCGCGGTATTTTCGCGAACAAATTTGCAACTGAATCAATTCGTTATAATTAAAAAAGATTACAAGTGCACACTTATTTAAAAATTGCTAATTCGTAACACAAATGATATGGTCGTACATGCTGATAAAAGGGAACAAACGTTCTGAAAAGCAGAGGAAATTCTGACCGAACTAGTCGAACTACTTAACATTTTTGAAAGTTGATTTGCCGTGTTTATTTATCAGATTTCTTGATCGAGTTATCGCATTACAAAAAAAAGGAACTTCAGAACAATACAATATTTTAAAGAGTTCCTTGAACATGCTGAAATTTAAAAATTTTCGGCAATTTATTTATATCAATTACAAATGATTTCGGTACGATGGTATGTTTGACTTGCAGTGCTTACATAATTCTAGAGCTGTGGTTCTATAGGAAAGACATATTTAAATATTTTTCATTAATAATACAATGTATTTTATTGCAACTACCAATTAACTGGTACATTGAATTGTGAAAACAACTTATTTGTCTTTGTTCCGTCATGCGTAAAGTCCGGCGAGGGTCTAGGAGATAATTGATTAATAATTGATTACTCAAGGTGAAGCCCTAGTAATTAAGTGTTTTTTATAACTTTTTGAATTGAAAGAGAGTAGAATTGTTTGATAAAAGTTTCAGTTAGAGAGAATGTGTGTGTTTAGATTTTCTAATTATCACAACTCTTACTGTGTCGGCAAAATTTTTACTGTGTCGCATGCATGAAATTTGAATCTTTACTGTGTCGGAGAAAATTTTACTGTGTCGGGAGCAACACAGTAAAACAGCTCATGGAGAACCCTGGCATGTGAGACTTTTCAGACGAAGGGAGAGATATGGGCTCCTAACAAAAACAAAAATCCTA